AAGCATGACCTTGCATGCATTTGGTCCCAGAGCAGCGAGAGCTTCCTCTCGTGAAATGAGAGGGTCTATCGTAATATGTGCTGGAACATTCGAAGTCAGGAACTTTCAGCAAAGGCAAGTTAAAGGATTTACATGTCTTCAAATAAGTTTTAGATGTTGACACGGGCGGTAATAATATGGAATATTTTATATGCCTTTCTGAACTGTAAAGGGTTCTCTTTGTCTTTAATTTCTAAGACAGCTCTGGAACCAGGGGGATTAAGTCTTCATTTACAGCTACTCCTTAAAGCCGGGACAAATTATGGCTCCCCCAAGCAAGGGTGCTTATTAGTAAATACGGTTAAGCGAGTGGATGCTGTTCCAGAGGATCGGTGTTTATACTTCAGCAGACGAATCATTTAGGAGGAGAAAGCCTGCCCATTAATAAGCAGACCTGCCATGACTAATGGCTGTTCTGGCCCCAGCCTGGACAGTGAGGGCTCACGGAGGCCAACCTGGCTCTCTTTCGGCCCTCTTTCAGCTTGGCAGGTTTAGAAAGCGTTTCCAACTGAGGTCCCCAGGGATTCCGGTACAAAAATGTTGAAAACCCTCCAGTACAGTGGTATGTTTATAAAAGTCACAGGGGCCCTGGTCCCACCCGAGAGAGGTCAAGGAAATGCATTTGTCTAACCTCACAAAGTCTTGACCAGAGAATCTTATTTGATTTAATCTATATCCGTAGCAGTTCTGCAATTGAATAACAAGTCATTTATTATGAAAGTTAGGAGTGTGTTTCTGACTGGGACCCAGGCAGCACTGGCTGTGTTCTCTCTCCATGTCTCCTTTTTCAAGTACGGTGACTGAAGGTTTTGGCCAAACTTTCTTCCTCAAGGAGGATTTTTATGGGTCGCCTTGTTGTGAGGGGGATATTAAGCAACACGTGCCCCATGAGTGCATGGTTTGTATATAGACAGCAGTGTGGGCCCCATATCAGCAGTCTCACTGGGCAGATCCCCATAGAAACTCTGCTTGGGGGAGCTGGAGTAGGTAGAAAGGCTTAGGAGATGGAGAGAGGATCACGTTCCATGTGTATTCCAAGGCCAAGAGTGTGGATTCTGGATTCTCCATATGCCTGCTTCCCAGGGTGCTTCTAGACAGAAATGAGGATAAGCCTGGAGAGACAGACTGGTTCTACTTGTGGTAGCATCTGAGGGGTAGTCAACCTCTGTATTCTCTCTAGGTAATCTCACCAGACCCCTGACTTTAAAACCATCTCTATGCCCCTGAACTTCAAATAGACCTCTCCAGTTTTCCACCTCCCTCCAGCATTCCAGATTCTTATCCTGGCTGCCCATATAACACTTCCAACAAGAATGCTTGAAGGACATCTCAGAACTGAATTTCCCCCAACCCTCTCCGCCTCTGGTTATCCCTGTCTCCTCAATAATGACAGAAATACAGGAACTTTCTTTGCTTCTCCTCTGTCCCTCCACCCTCCACATCAAATTTACCAGCGAGTCCTGCTGACTTGACCTTTAAGACAAACTGCAAAGACATGAACCTCCCTTCAGCTCTGTGAGTTCCTGTCTCCTTGACCACAGCAATAGCCTCCTAGCTGCAGTCTGCCTTGGCATCACCATGTGAAACAGACCACATGAGAGCCCCCACTAGGTGGAGTGGTTGGTGATCAAACTCCCTTTAGAGTGAATTCAAGAGAAGTTAGGCATAGGGGAAGTGGTGCCATGTTTTTAGCCCAACTCTTGGGAGAGTCACTTTGAGAGGCAAATGTGGTTTGGAGGCCACGTGGGTTGGAATTGGTGAGGCGTATTTGTTTGTTGATGGGGAGATATGGGCGGAAGGGAGCAGGAGGTGACGCAGGGGAAAGAGAAGGACTGCCCTTCTCCCTGGTCTCCCAGGGCATACGACTCATCCACAGTCACAGGACAGGGAATCCGAGTGCCACTGCACAGGTTAGCTCTAGGTCTGTAGGCTGATGTGCTTGATGTGGTTTTGAAGTGGTGGTGGGGGTCCAGAGCCGACAGCCATGAAAGAGTTCTTGAGACACCTTTGGTGCAAAAAGGTGATTTTATTGAAGCAGTGGGACAGGACCTGTGGGTAGAAAGAGCTGCACTGGGGTTGTGAAGAGTGACTGATTATATACTACAGAATTGGGGGGCCAGGTAAGGAAAAAGGGAGGTTCCAAAAGGACTTTCATATGTTCAAGAGGACTCATAAGATACTGAGTCCTTGGTATTGTTGAGCTGGTTGATTTTCCCTCTAGCAAAGTGTTAACATTAAGACAGTAGGGGGTTCCTGGAGGAATGTTATACTCTGTATTTGCCTCAAGTATTTGTCAAGGGGCTGCAGGTTATCAAGAAATTTAATGTTATTTACATTTTCTTCCTGCCTTTGTTCTGCACATCACTAAGGAGGGGAAGGTGATGTTAGGGCTCCAGGTAACTGAGTCTTTGGATTTCTGGAAGTCTGGCTGTTATTATAACATTGCCTTTTTTTGTCACTTACTAAGACATTTGCAAACTGATTTCTATCAGTTAACCATTTGTTTTCCCCTTTTTCCCCTCCCTTTGTTCTTGGACAGCCAGGAGTGTCTGAGGAATGTCACTGTGGGGGGCGGGGGAGCAATTGTTAGCTTGTACTTTGTCCTCAGCATGTCTTTGGCTCCCTGTCATGCTGGTGGGGTGCTCTCCCCCCTTCTCTCAGTGAAGTAGGAAGTGGGCTCAACAGCTGACTGACAACTGACAAGGAGGAGGGTGAATTAGAAGAGGCAATGTGTCAGGGAACACATGCCTTCTTTCTGAACATACCATGGAATCTTTGACCTGCCCTTCCCTCCATCTGGGATGTTTTTGAAGAGGATTTTCATATGGCTGGTGACTTTGTGACATCTGGGCTTAAATGTCACCTCCTCAGAGAGGCTCTCTCTGACCTCGGAATCTGAAACGGTCACCCTGCCATTCACAGTCATATCCCCCTATTTTCATTCCCTGACTGGCATTTGTTACTGCGAGAGATTCAGCTTGTTAATTTACTACTTGTTTACATGTTTATCACTGTATCTCCTATGAGATATTAGCACCTACTAGGCCCTGAACAGCGAGAGAAGTCTCCATGAAGAAGCATGAGGCATTTCTTTTCTTTCAGGGAAAAATACAAATGTGTCATGATAGAAGAGAATAGAACCCAGTTTGGGTATTTAGACTTGAATAGGCCCTAGATTAAATCTGTGTGTGGGAGGGTGCGTTGTAGAGGGTAAGGGTACATCCTACACCCTTGGCTTCATCGATAGATAGCTTGTCACAAGCAGCCTGTACCTTCCTAGGCAAAGGAAGATCTCTGAGTTCTCAAGGCCACTGGGCACTAACTTGAGCTTTAATGCCATTTTCTGCAGGCTTCCTTTCATGCCCAAGGGCATAGTTAGAGGTTCAGTTACCAGCAGTGAATATCATGTGAATATCTGAGCTAAGTGTATCAAGGGAAAAAAAAAAAAACAACCTTTAAAATAGGAAAATGGAGAGGCTGGGCTGAGAAAGAAATCTTTAAGTGGGAAAATAGAGAGGCTGGGATGTACTCTTTAGGCCTTAAATGGATGTCTGAACTGGGCCTAAAAGACCCTTCTGGCTCCGCAGCCAGTGTGGTCTTTTCAATTGGGCTAAAAGAAGTCTGCCAGCCTAGGGGTGCCTGCATGGCTCGGTTGGTTAAGCGTCTGACTTCCGCTCAGGTCATGATTTCACTGTTCAGAGTTTGAGCCCCATGTCAGACTCTGTGCTGACAGCTCAGAGCCCGGAGCTTGTTTCAGATTCTGTGTCTCCTCTCTCTGTCCCTCCCCCACTCACGCCCTGTCTAGCTTAAAAACAAATAAACATATTTTTTAAAATTAATTAAAAAAGGGGTGCCTGGGTGGCTCAGTCGGTTGAGCGTCCTGGCTTCGGCTCAGGTCATGCATGATCTCACAGTCCGTGGGTTCAAGCTCCGCATCGGGCTCTGTGCTGACAGCGCGGAGCCTGGAGCCTGCTTCGGATTCTGTGTCTCCCTCTCTCTCTGCCCCTCCCCTGCTCATGCTCTGGCTCTCTCTGTCTCAAAAGTAAATAAAAACGTTAAAAAAAATTTTTTTTAATTAATTAAAAAAAAGAAATCTGCCAGCCTAGGGGCAAATGCAAAGAGAGTCTGAGCACCTAAAACAACCTTTAGTCTTAGGTGATGGTTTATATTTCTAACAACTTAAAAAAAAAATCCTAAGACTTCTAGGGAAAGACTATAATTAGCCCAAAAAAAAAAAATATTTCTACATAATCTCTAAAAACAAAACAGACAAAAACACATCAGTATACCCAGTTTAAAATAATATATAAAACATTGTATGTTCTACCCCTGTATTTCTTCCCTACATCTCTGAGGATGTTACTGAGGTGCCGAATCACCCAGGATCGAACCAGTAGATCATTCTGTCAAAGGATAAATTAGGAAGTGACTGTATATCTAGTCAGGTGACCTAAGAGCACTCAACCTCCTCTGACCAGGAGACACTAACATAGTGGACAAAATTTACTTCAGAAAGAAAAGGGATTGCACAAGCACAGATTTGATCCACCGTTTTGGGTAAAGCCATGGATACTTTAATCAAACTACCTATCCCCCTGGTGGCAAACACTTTAAATGTGAGGAACCAAACCAAGATGATGAAAGCTAAGGTTTTAATAGACGTCTCAGACAGTTTCTTCCTCTGACTATAAAAAGTGAGTTCATGTGGCTCAGTAGCATGTTGTTATGGGTTCTGTGATTGGTGATGTTTCCTGTTTACTTCTTCAGGAAAGATCCAAGTGACTTGGGCTTACACAGGGACTGGCAGAAACCTGGGGGGGGGACTTCGGTGGTTGTCTGCATTTTTCCCCTGGTTTGTGAAGCTCACCTCACTGACTGACCCATAAATTACAAACCATATAATCTGCGGGGTGGTAGGCAGAGTTCTGGACTGCAGTGTTTTCTGTTTCCCCTTTATTTAGGCCGGAGGAGAAAAAATAGATCCAGAAGAGGCACTGATCTACGAAGAGGATTTAGATGAAGGAGACGGTGTGGAAGGCGAGGTGGAAGAGAGCACAAAGTTAAAAATGTTCCGCAGACTCGCCTCGGTGGCCTCCAAGCTTAAGGAGTTTATCGGCAACATGATAACCACTGCTGGAAAAGTTGTGGTGACCATTTTACTCGGTTCATCAGGTGAGAGTTTCCAGCATGGGTTGGAATACAGGTAGCACTTTGGCGAGTCATGAAAGACAAGGCTGAGGAGAAAATGCCGAAGGAAACAGCCTCATTCCAGAACACCAAACTCATAGCCATAACTTGTAAAACTGGCCACGTGTACACACAACACACACAAATAATTTTTCCTGTTCAGTTCTCATGTTTGTGTTTTTAGTCGGTTTCTTTTTTTTTAATTAATTTTTTTTTTTTTTTACTGTGTATTTATTTTTGAGAGTGAGAGAGCGCAGGAGTGGGGAGGGGCAGAGAGAGAGAGAGAGAGAGAGAGAGAGACAGAATCTGAAGCAGGCTCCAGGCTCTGAGCTGTCAGCACAGAGCCCAACGCGGGGCTCAAACTCACAGACCGCGAGATCATGACCTGAGCTGAAGTCAGACGCTTAACCGAATGAGCCACCCAGGTGCCCCTTGGTTCGTTTCTATTAACCTCCGTAAAGCAATCTTTTTCCATATCTAGGTGATGTTATGTTTTATACGTAGATCAGAAAGACCACCGTTCTCCTCCCCCAGAGCCCGTGAATGGCGATCAGCTACGATGAACAATGTCAGTATACTCTCCAGAGAGCCACATGTGTGCATTCTGAAAGCACGTCTGTTTACACTGGGTCATTAGGAGTCTTAATTTAACTCTCCAGGATATACTATTTTTCTTCCTCAGTTAGATTGTAATCTTGCAGCACAGACACTCACTTCCTTTAAATCTTGGCCGCTGACTGCTTGTTCCATAATAATGTTATCTCCATTTTCTCCCTCCTTCCATCTTGCTGCTGGCGGCTGCTCCAGAGCCACTGGGAAGTTGGGTCCATACCGCTTCCTTGAAATTGCACAAGATGAAACAATGTGACAGTTTTTTAAATACCAAAGTTAAAAAGTGGAAAAGAGAATTGAATTTCTCAAGAAATATCCCAGTATTTTAATGAAGAGTCATTTCAACACGCCCCCTACAAAAGTTTTTAAATGCCTATAAAAAAAATTCCCTCATTTTCCATGTCCCCTTTTGGTAATAGTATGAATCAGATTTCATTGGGTAGGGCAAAGTTTTAGTGAGACTTTGCCATAGATGGAATAATTTTATGAACCCCACTTACCCCCAAAAAAGTAAGTTATTATAAAAAGTGATATCAGGGAGGGGCTCCTGGTGGCTCAGTCGGTTAAGCCTCCAACTCTTGATTTTGGCTCAGGTGATGATCTCAGGGTTCATGAGATCAAGCCCCATGTCAAGCTCTGCCCTGGGAGTGTGGGGCCTGCTTGGGATTGTCAGTCACTCCTTCTGCCCCTTCTGCACTCTCTCAATCTCTCTCTCTCACAAAAATAAATAAGTAAACATTTTTAAAAATGGTATCAGGGTAAGTTGGAATGGGCACACAAGTCTCCCGGAAAAAACTGGGGAGAGAAGTAGAAAGATGGAAACAGGCAAGTAACTGTGCTAACTTTACTGTATGAAAAGTAGATACTTGCTCTGCCAAACAGCACGGGAAGAGTTTCTGGCATCATCCTGTGTTTCCCTATATTAACAAATACCACTTTATGTGTGATCTTTTGCGCAACAAAAATAGTATTAGCTCTGATTTTATAAATGAAGTGGGATTCCCATTTTAATCACTGGACCTACACCGGAAAACATATGAAGGAAATGTCCATCATCTCCAATAGGAACATGTCTCGAGTGGTGAATGATTTCCCAGTTCCATGCGATTTTTATGATCACATCTCTTCTTCCTTAGGTATGATGTTGCCGTCTTTGACCTCATCTGTGTACTTCTTTGTATTTTTGGGTCTGTGCACCTGGTGGTCCTGGTGCCGGACATTTGATCCATTGCTGTTCAGCTGTCTCTGTGTGCTGCTGGCTATTTTCACTGCGGGGCACTTGATTGGACTTTATTTATACCAGTTCCAATTCTTTCAAGAAGCAGTTCCACCCAATGACTACTATGCAAGGTAAGACAAAACGTTAAGACATTTCAAGGACAACCGACTCTCCTTTATGATCTTGTTTGAATTTGCAAGGGTTCCTCTTGATGCCCATTGATGTGTTCCGCAAAGGGTCGGCGGGGATGGGGGAAGCAATGTAGCACTTTCAAGTTATTGAATGACAAAGTCCAAAAGGAAGTGGGAGGTCTCTTCAAATGGAGGTGCTGCTGAGACATGGAAGAGAGGGGAGGCTGCTGTTTGGTCTCAGCTGTGGAAAAAGATCCCAGAAGAACATTTTGCATCAGAGAATAATAACAACATGTTAAAGCATCCAGCCGGAAGATGCTCTCACACACCAAATAGAGCATTAAAAATAATAACAAGGGCAGGGGCGCCTGGGTGGCTCAGTCGGTTGAGTGTCCGACTTCAGCTCAGGTCATGATCTCACAGTTCATGTTTCGAGCCTCGCGTCAGGCTCTGTGGTGACAGCCCAGAGCTTGGAGCCTGCTACAGATTCTGTGTTTCCCTCTCTTTCTGTGCCCCCCACCCCCACCACTCACGTGCACACGCATGCACACTCTCTCTCTCTCTCAAAAATAAATAAACATTAAAAAAAATGTTTAAAGAAAAGTAGTTTAAATGACTCCAGAGGAAAACAATCAGAGAAATCCAGAATGTGGATTCTATAAAGCAAATGATCTGGTCTCTAAAAAAAAACCTCAGCATCATAAAAAGAAGTGTGTGTCGAGGCAGTGGGGGCAGGGACTCCTGTAGTTTTAAAGGAGAATTTGGGAAACCCAGCAACCAGATGTGAAGCCTGACTCTACATTACATCCTGGTCAACCGCAGATCTCTAAAAGACATTTTAAGGTTAAATGGAGACATTTCAATGTTCACTGGTTATTAGTTGATTGTATAGAATTATTGTTAAACTGTTTTTAAATTTATTTTGAGAGATAGAGAGCAAGCACTTGGGAAGCGGCAGAGAGAGAGGGAGAGAGAGAATCCCAAGCAGAGCCCCACGTGGGGCTCTATCACATGAATCATGAGATCATGATCTGAGCCAAGATCAAGAGCCAGATGCTTAGCTGATTGAGCCACCCAGGCACCCCTAGAACTATTGTTAATTCTTATGTGTATGATTGTATTGTGGGCATACAGGAAAATGTCATTATTTTAGGAGATATGTGGTGAATTATTTAGGAGTGAAGTGTCATGATGTCTGCAACTTTCTACTGGTTTAGCAACAGACATGAGAGAGGGAGAGAGAAAGGGAGGGAGAGGCAGGGAAAGAGAAGCAGGAAAGAGAGACAAATAAAATTACTTAAACCAGGGGATTGGCCATTGGGGTATCCATTGTCCTATGTTAACTTCTCTACTTCTGTGGAAAAGTTTATGCCTGGAAGTTACAGGAAAAGTAAACGGGGGCAGAAATGGCAGAAGGGAATGTGAGGGGGGTGAACAGTGTGTGAACAGAGAAATGAGGAACTTGGAATTTCAAAGAACATGAGTCATGCTATCATGTTGAGGGTATAGAGTTGCATCCTTCTTTCGAGGGATCCCCATCTGTTTTTTATGTGATAGTAAATATGAAGCAGCGATGTGTGTGTGCAGACCCACTCACCTTGCTCTTACTGATTCATGTGTAAAATCTGTCTAGTTTGTAGCTATGTCTACCCAACGCTAGGAGAAAATTCAAGTCCTAAAACCTCCTATATTCTGTTAAAACAAGTTAGTACCCAATACACACACAGCGTAACTAATTCTAAACCTATTGGCATAATGTGGAGGTTTAACAAGTGTAATTCAGTCTATAAAGAGAAGAATGTTTTATAGACACATTAAAACTAAGAAGCCACAATATGGAAACAACCTAAGTGCCCGTTGACAGATGAGTGGATCAAGAAAATGTGGAGTGTGTGTGTGTGTGTGTGTGTGTGTGTGTATCTGCGTGTATGTATGTGTATACACATGATGAAATATTATTCAGTCTTAAAAAAGAAGGAAATCCTGCCATTGATGATAACATGGATGAAATTTGAAGACTTTCTGCTATTGAAATAAGTTAGAGACAGACAAATGCTGTGTATTTGTCCACTTATATGTGGAACTGAACAAAAGAGTCAACTGATAGAAACAGAGTAGAAAAGTGGTTGCCAATGGTGGCGTGTTGGAAGGAATGGGGAGAGGATGGTAAAAGGGTATAAATTCATTAATAAGTTTAATAAATTCTGAAGATTATAAGGTGAACATTATAAGGTGAATAAATTGTGAAGATCTAACGTACAGCAGGCTCACTCTACCTAATAGTACTGTATTGTATATTGTATGCTTGAAATTTGCTAAAAGAGTCAATCGTAAAAAAAAATTTTTTAAATGACTAGGTGAGGTCATTGATGTGTTAATTAACTTGATTGAGGTAATCATTTCACAATGTCCGCATATGTCAAATCATCACATTGTACAGTTTAAATATATTACAATTTCACTTGTCAACTATACTGTCAGCCTCTTTAATGGTGCAGATTTATGTAATATTTATTTATTTTAGGCAGTAGTGAATAAACGCTAAATTTCAGTACAGACATTCGTTCTAGGCTAAATGAACCCTTTGGTTTCTTTGAGGCATTTAATTTTGGGTTTATTGAACAGGTATAGAAAAAATGTTTTGTGCTGTTGGAAGGGGTGACTTTCAGGGGGTGAGTTAATTGGGAATATAAAAATATTCCATATGCCAGTAACCCCCAGTTTAAGGATCTTTTCTGCCATCTAGAGACTGATGATAGGAAATACAAGTAATATTCAGAACCACCTTGAAAGCTTACAGTTTCTGTAAAGGATCAACTAACAAATATTTGAGACTTTGTCGCATTTCTTTCAAGAAGCCGTTGTAGTGCAAAAGCAGTCACGGACAGATTTAAAAGAATGAGTGTGGTTCTCTTCCAGTAAAACTGTGTGAACACTGAAATTTGGATTTCATATTAGCTTTCGCATTTCATGAAATATTCTTTTTCTTCGGCCTTTTTCCAGCCACTCAAAAATATAAAAACCGTTGTTGGCTCACCAGCTGTACCCAAATAGGTGGTGAATGAGCTTGCCAACCTACAGTGTAGATAATAGTAGTCCCAATAGGCTAATAATGTACTATCTCTATTATTCACTTGACTTGTCCCAAACAAAATAATTATAACTTATTACAGGTAATAATAATTATATTACCTGTAATTAATAATTACATTTTGTAGATGATCCGTTTAAACATTTTAAAAAGTCCGTTACTATGATCTCATAGAGCTAAGTCATTAAAAGTTAAGTTGCTTGTCAGGCTCTAGACAGTTTGAGCTAAGCAATTAAATATAAATATAAATATAAATATAAATATAAATATAAATATAAATATAAATATAAATACACTGCCATGTTGTAGATTCCCACCCTCCCCCCGTTAACTTGGTGATAACAAGACATTGCATTTTAGTCCTAGAAAGCTTGGAAATTTACATCTCTAAAACAATAGCTTTTTCATAAGGCACAATTCCAGTGCATTGCTATTAACCCCAAATTATGAGTTAGAAGAAAAAACTGGAAAGTGGCAAACAAACACTCATTTTGCGTGGGCATTTGTCACAAATTTCATAACCACAGAGACCCCAGCGCATATATCCAGCTTCGGATGTGGCTGTTCGTAAAACAATCCAAGCCATTTTTGTCTTCTCAAAAGCTTTCAAATGCGTCTCTGGTCAGAATTACCTTTATTTTTAGAAAAATTGAATTGATTTGTTCATCATTAGGATAATACATATTTTTTGGTGATTATTTGGAAAAATGTAATGAAGGATAAGGAGAACCACCTTTTAAAAATGTAATCCTAACTTCCAGAAATAAATACTATTTATTTCAGGATCTATATTCTCCCAGAATTTTTCCTAGGCATATATGTGCCTTTTTAAAACAAACTTTGAATCATAAGGCAAGTACTCTTTTATAAGTTGCCTTATTCAAGTTCTACATTTGCCCATGTTATGAAATGTTCTTCTAAAATGTGATTTCCATAGGCAGCGAAGTCTTTGAATGTGTAGATATAGTCAGTCCCTGATTTCTGACCATGTAGATTTTTTCCCCATTTTTCCATTAACTTTATTTTTTTAAGCTTTTAAGTTTTTATTTAAATTCCAGTTAGTTAACATGCAGCATAATATTGGTTTACAGTGTAATAATGACTCAACACTTCCATACGGTACCAGGTGCTTCTCACAACCGGTGCCCTCCTTAATCCCCATCACCTATTTCACCCATCCCCCCACCCACCTCCCCTCTGGTAACCATCAGTTTGTTCTCTATGGTTAAGAGTCTGTTTCTTGGTTTGCCTTTCTCTTTCTTTCCCCTTTGCTCCTTTGTTTTAAATTCCACATATGAGGGGCGCCTGGGTGGCGCAGTCGGTTAAGCGTCCGACTTCAGCCAGGTCACGATCTCGCGGTCCGGGAGTTCGAGCCCCGCGTCGGGCTCTGGGCTGATGGCTCAGAGCCTGGAGCCTGTTTCCGATTCTGTGTCTCCCTCTCTCTCTGCCCCTCCCCCGTTCATGCTCTGTCTCTCTCTGTCCCAAAAATAAATAAACGTTGAAAAAATAAATAAATAAATTCCACATATGAGTGAAATCGTACGGTATTTGCCCTTCTCTGACTGACTTACTTCACTTAGAATAATACTTTGTAGCTCCATCCATGTCATTGCAAATGGCAAGATTCCATTCTTTTTTAATGGCTGAATAATATTCTATTGTATAAATATGCCACATCTTCTTTATCCATTCATCAGTCGATGGGCAAGTGGGCTATTTCCATAATTTGGCTATTGTAGAAAATGGTGTTGTAAACATCAGAGTACATGTATCCCTCTGAATTCGTATTTTTGTATTCCTTGGGTAAATACTTAGTAGAGCAATTACTAGATCATAGGGTAGTTCTATTTTTAACTTTTTGAAGAAACTCCATACTGTTTTCCAGAGCGGCTGCCTATGTTTGCATTCC